GTGGGCAGAGCCAAAGAAGTCCCCCAATGAGCAGCTCCATGGAGGAGTCAATCAGCTAGATGTTGCTGGGGCCGCTGTGAGCCAATCATCAGCTGGCAGTCTGAAGGGCAGGGAAACAGCCCAATGAACATCACTGCAGAGGAGCCAATCATCAGCTGGCAGTCTGAAGGTCAGGGAAACAGCCCAATTAACATCACTGCAGAGGAGCCAATCAGCTAGATGTTGCTGGGGCCGCTGTGAGCCAATCATCAGCCGGCAGCTGGATCATCAGCCAGCAACTGGAAGTTTGCTGGCAGCTGGAAGTTTGCTGGGGCCCCTTTGGCTGTGGCTCTCAACACACCAAATCCTGAGAAAAATTTTATATCTAACTGTAGAGCAATAGACATTGACTTCTAGATGTAGTGGTGCATGCCTCTCATCCATGTAGCTCGGGAGGCTGATGTAGGAGAATTGCAAGATCAAATCCAGCCTTAACAAAAGTGAGGCCCTAAGCAAGTCATTAAAATTGTGTCTCTAAAGAAATACAAAATAAGGCTGGGATGTGGCTTATGGGTTGAGTGCCCCTGAATTCAATCCCTGGTATAGTACAAGAATAAAATAAATGAATAAATAAATAAACATTGACAACGGACCATGCTATCCATTTGAGGTTATGGAAAAAAACTTTGATGTGATCATACACTTTAGTCATAAGATAGTTTTATTAATGTGTTGGTTTGGTACAAAAGTGGCCTTTAAGTTCAAACATAGCTTTTGAAAAAAAGATTATTTTAATTCAATCAGTACAGAGTGATTGAGGAAGGGGCAAGTGAACCTGGAGAGGTTCACAGGAGGAAAGAGGGCCAAAGTTCTAACTGTGCTCCCTGCTCACTTCCATGGGCTCCTGGGTCATGGTTGGGCCAGTGTGTAGTTTCATGCAGTCAGCTCTCCAAAACTATCTTCGGGCAACTGTAATTTTTCTTTCCAGTCTGAAGTTTCTGGTGATCAATAAGGTGTGATCCCACAAAAAATGACTTTTACAGTCTATCGGTGTGTGAGGATGGTTTGAAGTATGAATCACCTGTTGCGTGGTAACACTTGAAGCATACTTAACACTTTGCAGCATTCGTTACATTTATATGGCTCTTACCTAGTATGAATTTTTTGGTGAACAATGAGACTTTTTCTAATTGAAATAGCTTTGCCACATTCTTTGCATTTGTGTGGTTTCTC